CGAGTGGCAGCAATCGAAAAGAATTTGGCAATATTTTTATTATTAAATTTAATCAAATTCGGCAATAATTCAGCTGCTGAATGACATAATTTCGACTAGTATAAAGATCCCTGCTATCTGCCAGATACAATTCCAAGAGGCTAGCATATGCAAAGTGCCATTGGTGTTTCATCTTCTGAAAAAGATAAGAAAAAAAAAGAGGTGGGGAATATGTTGGAAACTATGATTATATATACAAAATAAGTTCCAATAGACAAATTAACTATGAAAAACTCTTTAGAAAAATAGTTAATAATAATAACAATGTGTTTTAGAACCTGAAATAGTAGTATAGGAGAAAAAAATATAATCGATATATGTGTATTTCTTAGTTTTTAAATACTATTCTCACTATTTATAAGTTCAAAAAAAAACTTGTGGCTAATAGACGAGTTACTATGCAATTAATATGGAGGAAAGAGACTTTCACTTGAGTTCACACTGTCCTGTATTTCTACTAGATGTATTTATCATTAATATATTCGAAGTGGTGGTATTGATGCAGTACTCCATGGTATTTTGCAATAACTCCCAGCAATATCTATATATTAGCTTGTTGATTATTTCAGATAATATTATAAACTCCCAAGTTAAATACCAGTGTTACTCAATTTAACTTTACCTAAGGTTGTCTCAATACTGCAAGAAACTCTTTCATATCTCTTTGATAAAATTACTCTTCAGTAAGGTTCCAACTATATATAGGAGTGAACTACTTTTATTGAACAGGAAGGAGTAATTTTTTAGAACAATCATTTGCACAGTTAATTTGATAGAAGGGTTGATAGAAGAGAGTTTCTCTTGGTATCGCTAAGTGATTGTTACATCTTCCAAGGTAAAAGGGATTCTATCTCTGAGAGAGAAAGGATTGAGGATAGTAATGTATATATAACTGTGTAGATCGATCCAATGCAGTACATTCTACTTTGCTATAGATCTTTTTTACCGGGATGCAGTAAAGTCAAAAAATATTTACTAGATCTCTATATTCTAAGAGTTGAGTTAACTGGTCTACAACTATATATTTCTTTCTCTTGCTTAATAAGAGCCAAAGATATAATACGAAATAGTATTCTATATTTATCTACGCTAGACTTATATGACTTATAATAGATTTCAAGTTCTTATGAAGCTAAGGAAATGCATTCAAACATGTAAAGTAACTAATAAAAGCTTGTTTACATTTTTGTACTGACATGATTCTATTGGACCAATCAAATTATAAGAAATCTTGTGCTACTTAAAATTAAAGATCAAACTGAAGTAGGCAAAATTCCCCAGAAATAATGGAGAAAAAATACTATTAGAGCCATACCAATGATAAAAAGAGTGGATATAGTATATTTGCGATACTGTGGTTCTCTATATTAATTAAATGACTTTTCTATAAGATAGATAGATGGTAGGGCATCAGCTCTTCTTTCTTTTAGAATTTTCTTGCTATAGATAGAAAAGATATATTCATAATTAATCAGGTCACTAGTAACCAAGTTTTTGTTTGAAAAGATTGTAGATAAGAGGGGAGGGATGCAAGCAATTCCTAAGAAACTTCTCAGGGTAGTTTAATGAGAGTGGTAAGACTATTATTAGCAAAAAAGATGGAAAGGCTTTTTTTGCATATCTTTTTTGTGTGTAGTCAGAGGATTATTGAGAAGAATATATATTTTGATAATATAGAAAAATCTTTTATTACTTATATTTTAGATTTTATTTTATATTTTTATTTATATACAAAGATAAGTATATAATATTTAATTATATTTTTTTTATCAATTATTAAATAACTAATATTTTTTAATCTTTTTTGTAAATTTTTTAGATATTTATCATTTATATTAAAACTATTAAAAGATATTGGGATTGAAAGTATCAAATAAATAGTTATTTTATTAATATTGAATACTGTAATATCAGTAGAAGCAAGTACAAATACCATAATGGCTCTTTTTACTGATCCTTTGACAATATGCAAAAAAAATATTCACAAAAAAGTTTTATATTTTTTTACTAATAAAGTCTTATTACTTTTCTTAAAACAACTTGAAGAATAACATCAAAAGTTCCTTCCAACTTTTTTCTCTTATTTATATTTCTTTTCAAACAAAAACTTGACTTTTGATAATTAAGAAAAGTCAAGAAACACCTTTTTTACCTATGACAAGAAAGTTCTAAAAGAAAAAAAAATCAATAGTAAAGTATTGAAAGCCTATCTTCTGAAGTAAAAGTGCAACTAAAGATTTTATGCAGTAGATAAATAGATAAACAAAAGTCTAAAACTTAAAACTTTTCTTCCCATTGTTTCTATTCTCTTAGAGTCATTCATTTTTCAAAGTTTTTGAGGAATTTTGCCTACTCTAGCTTGATCCTGAATTTTGGAGTAATACAAAACCAACATAGCTTTTGCTAAAGGTAATTGATTGATATAAAATATATTAGTAGTAAAATATAAATTAGCTCCTACTAGTTATATTACATATTCCAATGATGTCATTGATAAAAGAAAGAGAAATTATTTATACGATCTTCTTTACTTCTCCAAATAAAGTGTAATCAAAACAAAGAAATCATAAAGTCATTAAAATAGATACTAAATTCTCTAGGTGATAAAAAGTAATTATTTATTCAAACCAAGATCTTCAACTTCTTATTATTCTGATTAGAAAAAGTATGTGAAAAAGGTTATTTTTTATCCCAGTCAAGCTGTAAGATTGAAAAGCAGAGGAATATAAAACACTACCCTTTTCTAGGATTGAGAATGTATTTTTCTAGATATTATATAATAATATTGCAATCAAGATGAATATCAGTAAAATTCCTTTAACTAGGCATGACTACTAAAAGATATTAAGAATTATATAATAAGGCTAAAAAGTTAAATAAGAATTTGAGGTCCATCATTAGTCATCTTTTTTTATACAAATAGATACAAAATCAAGATAAAAAAAAAGAAAGCATTGAACAAGACACTGAATCTGAGTAGGAAATAAGTACCTCAGATGGTTATAAAAAATAATTAAGAACATGAATGAATAAGTTCCTTATATGATCAAAAAGAAGAGGGATATTTCAGAAGGGTTGACTCCTAATGAGAAAAGATTTCTAGCAGTGATCTTTTGGAGAATATGAAGCATTTATATTTTTCTTTTTTCTGTTTTCTTTTTATATAATGTATTTATATAGTTTTAGAATTTCTTTTTTTTTTTATTTTTTCTTTATTTTTTTGTAGTTTCTTGAAGAATAATAAGTAGTGACAATCTGTTAGCAATGATAAACAAATTAGGAGAGTATTTATCTAAAATCTATTATAGAATGAAATATTATCTTCAAGGTTGTACTTAGATATACTTGAATCTTCAATAGAGAATATAAAAAATAATTTTGACAATGATGAAAGTGATTATAAGAGTGAGAAATTTGATGAAGATGATGAATAAATTCATTCTGATTGAATAATTTTTTTAGAAATAAGAACTAATATGATTATGGAAAGATCTTTAAATTTGATTTTTATAATATTAATCAAAATTATGATTGGATTAAAATATCAAGCTTAATATAAAATAATACTAGTTATTAAGAGAAAAACAATTAAAAAAGATTTTTTAATAAATACAAAAAAGTTTCAAGAAAAAAAAATCTAAAATAATTAATATTTTGTTATAATAAAATAGAAAAAAACTTTAAGAGTAATAAGAAAAGTTAAGAAATATAAAATCTTTAAATTATAAAAAAATCAAAATATTATTTTTCAAGTTACAATATATCTAGAAAAGATTAACTCCAATAACAAGTAAATTGATATGTGAAAGTCATTTAAATTGTTTTAAAATAAAAGACGAGCCATGTTAGCCTGATGGTCATTTTTTTAATATTTTATTTAACCAGTTACAACTGTATAAAAATTTGAATTACAGTAAGATGATCTGGTGCTTTTGAGAAATAGAGAGTAAAATTACATAATAAATGGGCCCCTTATATTTGTTTACCCGGTTAATTGGTGGTACAGTGTGATAATACTACGTGAGTATCAAGATAATCTGTTGTTATTACGTATAAATTTATTCAACATACAGTATATATTTATTTGTTCCCTTCGCTCCTATAGTTTCTTTTTTAATTACCGATACGAAAAAACTTTAACCATAAATCTAAATAAGGGCGTAAATGATGAATTCTGTACTGCAAGTGGAAGAGCTTGTAAAAGAATACTTGTTAGTATGTACGACATTTCAATTTACTGCTTAACTTCACGATTAACCCTTAATACATATATACATATATATATGCGCATTCGTCAATTAAAACAGTTTAGAGGCTTTTTGACCACCTTTCGCTCTTTTGAACAAGAATGTAAAAATGACAAAAACAAGGGATTCCAGGTGAGATCTCCCTAAACATTTTTTTTTCCCGAGTGGCTTTTATTGACAATAATCCATGCTCGAACGTAGGCCGAAAGAATTATCGATGAATTATACTCATTTGTCGCAAATAGCGATATTAATGGTCTACTCGATTACTGGAAATATCTCGATCTGAGATATTTTTCTCGGTTGGATGTTAGATTTTTGGGAAGTGTCAAAAAATTCGAAACGTGTCTTTTGAGGTATTACCTTGTGTATGGTACGTGGTATTAACGAATTATACCTTGACCATTGTTGCTTTATGCTCACTTGTCTAATAAATCGCAGCGATACAGCAAAAACGCAAAGACAAGGTGTTGATGTTTTTTGACACTTTTGGAGCAGAGTTAAGTAAAAATTCAGAATGGTCAAAATGGTTCGGTAAGAATAATTTAAAATTTCTTTTCTGTCGTTCATTTATTGTTTGAAATTCAATGAGATCCTTACTCATTTTTCCTAGGCCTACCATTCTCCAAGAATCCAACGACCGACCCGAATTACGAAACATTTTTCACTAAACAATGGTTAGATAAATTCACGGTGTCATTTCATAATTTTCTTAACACAATATTTCAAAATATGCGTATCCTTTATATTCGTACATGAACAACGGTTAAATTGGAGGCTCATTTTTGTTGACTCAGCACACATCAAATCATATTTATTTTCCTTGATTTTTTTTTTTTTTCTTTTGCTCGTCAAAAATAGCGCTACCGAGTCTATTATGTTTTAATCTTGACCGATTTAACCGACATGCGATGCAGAGTGAAATCGAATCATTACAGGGTGTAATAGAAAACCTTAAATCCAATCTTGAGAATGCGGATCAAGAACTCATGTCTCTGCGGCAGAAGGTTAGATTATTTTATTGAAGGTTTCCTACGGTTGACCCCTATTGATTTATTGAGAAAACTATAAAATGATCGCAATTTGTTAGGCACAATTGCGAGAGTCTGGTAAAGCACGGAGACGTGCAAAATCATTGTATGATTCGAAGGAAAAGGATATGTGAGTTTGAAATATTAATTTATTATTATAGTAGAAGCAAAGATAACTAACGCGCAAATTCCTTAGGCAAGAAATATTACGTCCCATTTCAAGTGAGTAGAAATCATATGTTCTGGTGCACTTGGTAATAATAATATCGATTAATATAATTTTTTTTTGTAAAGATGGAGGTCGTTCCTCCTCTAGCCTTTCATCGTTGAGGTCGACACAGAACAATAAAGCTGAAACAGGTTCCGAAAATAATGGCATGAAATCCCCTGAAACTCTTGCTGATGATCGAAGCATGACACCAATATCCGAATACAATTCAGATGACACCCAAGAACTTCCGGGTGAGGATGCAAATCCATTCACCATAATGAGTCAGGTGAGGCAGCTTTCGCAAATTTTACTTAATATTCAGATACAATAACGATGATATATTATGTCAAAGCAGGAAATATATCTCGAGCATGTGTCTGGTATCTCCTTTGCTAAATTCTCTCATGAGGGCAATTTAATCGCAAGTTGTGATGTGGATAATATTGTCAAGTATGAATTGGATGTAATTTTTACGTTTTCTATTTGCTAACGTGTGTTATCAATTGAGTAGGATATGGAATTATACTGGCACAAGCGATCTTTCTTGCAGGATAACTAATCAAAACTCAAATATACTGTGTTTGGAGTGGGAGGCTAGATCAGATAAGTTTGTAAGTCTCCCTAATTTTTTATCAGAAGAAACGAAACAGCTCTTTCTATATATATAAAAAATTTTTTCTTTTTTTTTTAAAAAAAAAAAGCTTCTTCTAGGAACAGATGAGAGACGAGTTCGCGTTTATAATAGAGAAACGAAATCAATAGTTCACGAGTTTCACATGGATGAAGGATTTCCAAGGTTAATATTCCGAAAAATTCATTATGCGCTATATTACAAGTATTAATCAACAAAGTCCGCTATTCAACTGATGTTTGGTATTTAGGGTCAAGCAAATTAGTTGTTCGCCTGCGGAATCTTTGTTCGCCTGCTCCGGTTCGCCTAAAGAAGCTTCTGAAGATTCTGTGAACGGCTCATTATTATTGTGGAACTTAAAAACGATGTCAATAAAGGTAGATGATTAAGTGAAATGCAAAAGAAATCGAGTCTTTTGTAAATTATTTTCCGATTTTTACTGGTTGATCTTAAATAAATTAATAGGATTCGTTTGCGCTTGATTCTTCAATATCGAAATCTGGGTTGCCTGTTGCACCTATAGAGACCATCAAGTTTAATCATAATGGTCAGATGCTTGTCGCAGGTGATAGAGCCGGGTGCATACGTATTTTTGGTACGCGACAATTTTTTATTTATTTGTTTAATTGTTTTGGAAGTCGGTATTTTTATGTGAGCAAGTATATTAAATAGATATTCGTTCCTTGTCGCCGATTATGGAGTGGAATCTTTCCAGGGCGGGAACGGGATCAAATAAAAAAGGGAGCGGCGTTGTGTGTTCATCACAATTTAGTTTTGATGAAAATTCAATTTATGTTGTTGATGAGGCTGGAAATGTAAGCATAATTCAACATATTTCATTCTATCATACATTATCATACGAATGATGATTATTTTTTATTTCTTCACCATTTCATTTAGCTTACACAATGGTCTGCTCATAAATTGGGTCATATAATTTCTCAGTCTCAGCTTTCTGGCTTCTCGTCTGCACCATTATCGACGCTTAACAATTTTGCACCAACACCGTCAAAATCATTTCGTAAACGCGCACCATCAGTATCGTCTGTTAAATCCACAAAATCAAATCGCTCAACATCCTCAGTCCCTGCAATAATGATTGGAAATGAAGTCGCACATTCGTTACCAACCTCACGTGTTCCAACAGTGTCTTTTAGTGGTGACACGGAGCATGTTGTTTGTGTTGGCAACGGAGGATGCCAAGGAGTAATCTATCAGGTTGGTAATTCGTTTAATTTCTCCATCGTTCAATTAGGTTAATTTAATAACAGATGTATTTTTCGAACATAATAATATAAACTAGACGTCTACTGGAGATCAGGTTCAGTTGTTAGCATCTCATTCGAAACCATTAACGGCTGTCGATTGGACTACAACCACAGGAAATACGATACTAACAGCCGCGTCTGACGGAACTGTGAGGGTGACCAGGATGGTGACCTCTGCAAGTTCATAGATTTCTTTATTGAAACATTTCGTGTAAATTGTTTTTTATTGTTATTATTTTATTTTTTTTTTTTCCTTATGTGATATATCTATTTCTAAGTGTACTATTTAGTCTAAAATCCATTTATGAAACTCGAAATCTAAATTTATAATTTAAAAGAATAGCATTTATATATATAGGACAAATCATTTACATTGATACATCTATAGAACAAATTGATATTTCTGATATGTACTTATACGTCTACGCGCATGCCTATCTTGAGGCATATATATTTCAATAGAAATTTGGTATTTCTAAAGAGCACGACATTTTTTTTTTAGACTTGAAGTCAGTCAAAACCTGCACGTAACGAACCTGCCACTCGTCTTAATAAAATGACATCGAGAGTCTGCCGTGCGAAATATGCTATTTTGCAATAATCTATTTATCATCGAATTCGTTATATTCGACTATTCAAGATCTTTTTTTTGGTTTCTGGGCTTATCAAAATAAGACAAAGGAAATACAGTCGGCACCTAGCAATGCGTATACACCGTACATCGCGTGATTGTTTTGTTGCCGTTTAATTCGAGAATGAAAATCGAAAGATCTGGTGCCTATTCTCCTTGGTCCATATCTCATATCGCCACTAAGTGAATAATAGCACTATGGAGGTCATTCATTTTTTTCATTTTAGGCGCACTCGAAAAGAAGCTCTTCGCCATGCTGAACGGATAAAATTGTAGAATGATCTCGACTTTGATTTCAATTTTATTAATTGCACATCCAAGTAGCGTCGTCGTTTACTACTACCAACTTCGCAAGAAGCTCCTGGCAATTGTGTAATATCGTTCAAAACAAACGAGTCAAACAAACATTTTGGGTTTACATTCGCCCTTTCAATTCAAATTTGAAGTGCCTCCTATGGTTCTCAGGTATTTTTAGCAGTAAAATAAATGTCATAGCCTAATAAATGAGTATTAATCGCTAATGAAAAAAAAATTCAAAAAAAAAAAAAAAAAAAAAATTTTTTTTATTATACTGTGTGTAAATTGTTTTTAAAAGAAGAAATCTATTAATCGAGAACATCAACGACCATCGATTCAATGTCGCGAAAATGTGAGGACTTGAGGAACATTCTTTTAAAGATTTTCTTAATGACATGTTATTTACAGTATTTCCAGTATGTAACCCATTTTCGTCGCGTGAGTGTATAAAAAAATATATTGTACCGTGTATCTAATCTGACATGTGAATAAGTATACAAGATTATTATTCATCGTATATATAATTAGTCGTGATTCATACAGTAAATATAAATTGCAGATTGAACCGTCGGGCATGAATTTTAATTATATGATCCTCACAGTAATTGTTGGCGCGACTATTTTGTCTTCAGTATGGCGGCCGACTATGGATTAGAGCGCAGCAAACAAACTGCGCCAGAGCGTCATCGTCGTGTAACGATCGATCATAATAAAATGCGTATAAAATATCGCCCAGAACATCTTTCACCGAGGTTCGAATACAAGATTAAAATATGGACGCATCAAATGGAGAGAAAACGAATGATGATGGAAAAAAAAACAACCTTGATGATCGTATTGTGCTAAATGTTGGTGGTACAAAGGTAGAGTTTTATTACTTCAAGGGTGAGGGGACGTGAAACCGAAGGCCACTTCACTTCAATTGCTAACGACACCATCTGTTGAACGTTCATTTTCCAGTACGAAACTTATCGATCGACCCTTACGGTTCATCAGGACACGCTTCTCGGTACGATGTTTCAGGAGCGTAACAAACACATGCTTCATCCCACCAACGAAAATGAATACTTCTTTGACAGAGATGGCACCATATTTCGTTACATCATGCAATTCTATCGCACTGGAGAAATATTTTGGCCCGAGGAAACCGATTTCATCACTGATCCCTCTCAAAATCTCTACATCACTCGTCGAGAACTCGAGCTCGAACTCGATTACTTTCAGATTCCGGTGCCGGGTCGCGGCGGAATAGACAAAACAGGGGCCGTGTCATTGGTGGACGGATTTCTGAGTGCACTGGATTCGGTGGCAAATCACGTTGTCAAGAAGTATAATGCGACGATACTTATACAGTTTCGATTGGGAATGATAGAATATGACGTTGATCAGGACATAGAATTGTTGGTGAAAGAAATATTGGAGCCATTCAAGTTGGTGGGATACAAGATCCTGTCAAAGTTTAATAGGGAGATTGCTTCGTATCTGGCGAAGAATCATAGTTCCTTGAATTCGAAGGTTGTGAGGAAATCTCATAAAGGCTATTATGAGGTTAGGATGATGATGAAAGACTTTCAGGAGCTTGACGAACAATTGATATTCAAGTACTCCAAGCTAGCGAAAGTTGTTGACCCGGCGAAAGTGATAGAGGATGAAGAGGAAGAGTAGAATGGGGGATGAGGATGGTTGGTTTTCACTCTAAGACATCGAAAACGATTTATTGGTCGTTGAGGTGATACCAATCCCTTCAAAGAACTTTCATCTATTGTTCCTCGAGGATTCGCGAGTGTCGTGTGCATTCATACCATTCTTTAACATCTGACATCTGGTCGAACTTGACAGACGATTAATGAGATTTTTAGCTGAAACAAAAAAAAAAAAAAAATAATATTTATTCGTTTTTATTTTGTTTTTATTTATTTATTTATTTTTTTTTTTATTTTTTTTTTTATTTGACCCTGGGAACTTTTTTTAACGTGAGGTCAATGCGAATGGTGTAGGTGAGATGGACAATTTAAATTTCTAGTATTCGTAGGATCCTTAGGAGCCGCAATGCAAAATCAATTAAGAAGGTTATATACTATGATGCTACGTTACATTTCACTATTGCAGAAAAGAACCCTAGTATTACGATCGCTTGTTGCAATTTTGTGCGCTGGTCATTAAAACACCATTACCACTTGACGCATAAAGTGTGTAACTAACTACCGAGTGTGTCATGTCTCCATTAGCACCTTTAATTCCGAAATTTCCTTTTTTATTTTCGTGAACAGATCAAGATTGTCAAGAATTATGTGACTTTTTTTCAAGTAAAATAAATTCTTACCAATTGGATATTTGAGCACGTGCGATAACCATAATAGGTTGGCTCGAGTCATCCAGAATATTTACGGAAAGGTCATACATAAATCGGTGCCATAAAACAATGAGCGAATTAGTTCATTTGAAGTGTGCATGGTTTTTTTCTTTCTCTTTTGTTTTTGTTTTTGTTTTTTTTTTTTTTTTTTTTTTTTTTTTTTTACAATGATAATTTCACAAGAATCAAGAATGAAACATCGAGAAGAAAAAAGTGGGAAGGAAATGTATAGGGAAAATTAAAAATCTAATATAGATAAATGCTGGGTTAATAATGGGAAGTGTCAGGTGAATAATGGTTTTAACTCTAACTAATGTGATCCATTTGTCTCGACGTCACCCTTTCCGCGAGAGACATGCACCAAAGGAAATTCATAAGAGGATGTCATATTTTGTATTGGGTGCTCTTTGACCGATTAGCAGAACAAACGAACTATCAATGAAGGGGAAATAGATTCGTTGAATATTTAATGATGTCAAGGATGCGCGATGAGAACACGAACTCCTCCAAATGACTGATTGCATTTACCTCATCATGACGCATACATTCTGAACCAACACGGCAACTCCAAAATACAATTTTTCCATTTCCACGTCTCTTAGCATATATTTGAGGATAAATACGGACTGGGTGGAGGGTGGTGGAGACATTTAGCGGACAAAGGATAACGGGAAATTTGAAGGGGAAGGGAAGAGACAATGACGAATAATACATACCATCGAACAAAACGTTCCGCCCACCAACAACGTGAACCCCAAGAATAATAGCAACCTGGCTTTCCAGCGAATTTCATTTGAAATCGAGTAAATGGCAAATTCATCGGTGATGAGGGTCTTATCGATTGAGCCAACACTTGAATGCAGGTGGGGGGGGTCAGTCGGTCGGTGGATGTATTATGAGATTAAGGGAAACAATCGCAACGATGACAACATACATTAACATCCCGATGGTCGTTATAATTCCGGAAATCCAATCAATGACGTTAATAGTATCGGATAGAGTGTTTCCTCTGATGATGGCATATACTACGGCGTCCACGAACGTCCACCACCCTATGGCAAACTATTATGATCAATCCGCATTCGGATTGAGGGAGGAATGTTTTGTTCAATATTCTCTTCCAGGGTAACCGAAATATCATCATTAAATGATTTGATATATTATCATGAATCAAATACCAAAACTCCTGAGAGATAGATAGCGACATCCCTGGTACGAGGGGGTGGAAAACATATTCCCCTCCTTTCAAATAAATTGTTATGATTCCATCTTGAGGGCGATAGCGTTGGGGGCGTGGAGGCAAACATTCGGAGGACCATCTTGTGGATTTCTTCTCGGATGAGAGAGAATTCTATTTAAATCTTGCAAAAAGGTTCTTTAAAACGCTCGTAGATATTGATGAGAAATATTTTTCAAAATGGGTACACACTGGTTGCAGCTACGTACGCAGTTGAGTGCGTTACATACGTGCGTACATAGGCTAGAACCGGTACTCTTTTTATATTCTAAACTTGTGCTACGTATCACCTTTTTTTTTTTTTTTCGTTGCGCAACTGACGAATCGTCCGTCCGTCAAGTGACTTTCGGAATTTTCGTTTCCGAGTATAGCGATTGCTAATTTATTTATTTATTTATTTATTTATCGAATCTATTTCGCAGCGCTGTGAATTTTGCCGCGCTAGATAAATTCCTTTATTTTTTTTTTAGACACTATTTGTTGATCGCGCGAGTGGTATAATAATGAGAAATGGCCTTTTTCATTTGCTAACGTTTTTGAACATAATGTGCTTGGCACGTGACCAATTTGTAATTAAGTGCGCATTTTGGGAATCTAATACGTATTCGTGCTTTGTTTTTTTCTGCGAATGTTCGGATAAGGGCTACGGACCTTTCCAAAAAGACAATTACGTACGTACACACGTATTTTCTGGTTTTCTGCAGCATTCCTGTGCATGCATAATGATCTACCTTGCCACATATCACCTTTTTTTCATTTAAGAAAATCATAGTGCGACTTACGCAGTCTCTTTCATTTCTGCTCCGTTCATCATTGGAAATCTAGAACACAAGATGATCGAGCTAATGTCGTTTTCCGTCATATGATTATTGTTGATTTGTATCACATCCACGTGTGATGGATCAGTCTAACTTTACTTGCACACCCCGAAATTCCTTTCAAATTATTAGTGTCGATCCCAAGGAATGAATATTAATTTTTGAAATGTCCTGCGGTTGGTTGACTCCACAATTTGGGATCAAATATAATAAATAATAAGGATTCGAAATTTAACAATCTAATCTTCTTGTAGGAAAAAATGGCGAACAAAAAATACAAGAGGAAAAAGAAACGTCAGGCTGTATCCCCCAAAATTGCCTTGATAACAGGTGCAAATAGGTATGGCGCTATCCTTAAAAGATCTCGTCTGCCGCACACGTGATATTTGGCTGATTTCTCCTCAGTGGCATAGGATTCACTATTGCTCAAAGGCTTTTGCGTCATTCGACTGAAAATCCCTCGGAAATCTTCCGTGTCGTACTTTGCTGTCGTAATCCGACAAAAGCCTCCGATGCGCGAGAATCCTTATTGAAAGAATTTCCAGGCGGATTGGTCGATATAATTATCATGGATGTCGGCTCGGTCCGTTCCGTGTTTACGTCCTGTATGAAAATTAAGGAAAAGTATGCGACTTTGAAGTTCAACCGTACCCTCCCTTGGCTTCTGAAATCATTGCATTAAATAAAAACCTTTTCCTCTTTTCACTTGACAGATATCGTCGTGTCGATCTGCTCTTTTGCAATGCGGGAATATTCCCTTGCGTACGTTTGGATTGGTGGATTGTTGCTCGCCAGGTGATGACAGATCTCAGAGGTCTATTGACGGAATCCAAGTCTGCAATTCAGTCCATTGGAAGCATAACCAGTGAAGGTTTAGGCGAGACATTTGCGTGCAATGTGTTTGGACACTACGTGATGGTTCGTGATCAATTCTTTCGGCTGAACGTGTGGACAAATCTATTAATCGTTATGATGACAGGTGCGTCAGTTAGAAGATTTGATGGCATCAGGAGATCGCTCTCGAATAGTATGGACTGGTTCCTGTACCGCAAAGAGAGAGACGTATGATCCTTTGGATTACCAGTGTAATGAAGGGTTTGTATCATTCGATGTATGGCATATCCGGTTCGTAATGTTGCCATGCTAATCCATGAACTTTTTTTCTTCCACAATTTCACAGCGCAAACCCCTACGAGTCATCAAAATATGTCACTGACGCAATCGCCGTCGCTCTCAATTCTCGTCTGAATCGACGTAACATTTATAGCTTCGCAACACATCCCGGTGTTGCCGCCACCAATATCATTTATGATCATCTTAATTGGGCGATGCGCAGAGTAATGAAGGCAGCATTTTACATGGTACCCGACTTTCCTCTGACATACAACATGAAGTGGTCGTCATTAATTTCTTTTTGTTTTTACCAATTCCAAGGGAAGAACATTTGGCATAAAAGAATTAACAATTACCGGGTGGAACGGGTCCTATTCAAATTATGTGGTCGCCACAAGACCTATCCAAAGTCTTAATCAGTTTCTCAAGTATGGTAGTTACTGCAAACCGTGGGGACCAGTCTACTGTCTTGAAAAATTGATCGACCAGTATGACGAAGAGGAAGCAAATGACTTGTTAGAGAAATTGGATAATTTACTTGAAGAATTTCAAAAGAAAGAGCTTGGTGTCATTTCCTAGGGCCGTCGAAATGTCCGTCCTCATTCGTGATCTTTCATCATCAACCTTTCCTATATAATAATAATTAAAAACAATAACAGTAATATAAGGTATGGTAATATGGATTATACGATACATATAAATTAACAACAAATTGTTATTGAAGAATAGAAAAATTTTCGTGCAAATCTATTCGTTTGAATTGATTTTTATTGACTTCAAGAAAAATCCGAATAAAAAATTTCAATGTCGGGATTTTTTAAATTAATAATTAAATAGAATCAAAATTTTTAATATTTAAATTAATCGATTAATTCTAATTTTTTAATTGATGTGATATAAATTAATTACTAAAATCCGAATCATATTTATGTTACATACGCGTTCACATTTTATCATAATTATTATCATTCACACAAATATTTATAAAAATTTTTGCTAAATTTGAATTTATTAGTTTAATTTTGTTATTCCGTTCAATTTTCCAGGTACCATTAAATTCATTAGATGAAATATGTGATTTGTCATAGTTACAAGTTTGGTTTGATACATACAGTACTATATTTGCTTTTGTGAAAAATACAAATACAAGATCATTGTTTTTATTAACTCGGATATTAACATTTTTTTATTCATATTACTCAAAAAAATTTTATCACTTACTCTTAGTTTGTATTAAATAAGAATAAATTTTATTAAAACCTTTATTTTGACTCTTGCTTTTTTTTTTTCATTTTTAATAATTATTTGAATTGATTTTATCATTTTGACTTCACTATTTTTTTTAGATTAAATTTCTTGATATTTTCCTAATTTTCAAATTTTGATATTCCTAACACTAGTCAAAATTATATCATTTAGCAGTCAAATTATTGCAGAATTTGATAAAATGCAATAATAAAAACATTAACAAATTATTTTTGATTACTTTAACTTGATATTAAAAATATTAATAAAAAATCAACAAAAAAATTTCAACATACTGTGATAAAAAAATTTTATATACTACACAAAAAATTTATATATTATAATAAACAAAAAATTTTTGTATATTGTAGTAAAAAAAAATTTTTGTATATTGTAATAAAAAAAAATTTTTATATATTACATTAAAAAATTTGATAAAAAAATTAATACTGTGACAAAAAATTCAATAAAAAAAATTATATACTATGGTAAAAAATTTAGCAAAAGTTACAAATCCAGTATTAAAATTCAATAAATATTATGAAATTATTAACAAATTATAAAAAATTACAAAATCAATTAATTAAACTATTTATTACTTTTCTCTTTCTTCTCTTCTTTCTCTTTTACTAACTTTTCTTTATCTTTTAAAAATTTTAGCTTGATTTTTTTGAAACTAGTCCCAATTAATTTTTTCTTATTGAATATTTTTTGAGATTTACTATTATTTTTTTTTAATTTCTTAACTACTCTTGAAATTTAATCATTTATATACTTTTTTCAATTTGTTCATCGTTCTTTAAATATATTAATAATTTTTTATATTTGATAATTTTTTATTTTTTGGATTTAATTTTTGATTTTTTATTTTTTTCTATCTCTTTTTCTTATTTATATTTCAAAATCTCTTTCAAACTATATATCCAATTTGATAAACCTTTTGATAATATTATATAATAAAAATATGAATTATTATAATATTATTTACAAGTTAATTGAAATAC